TCTTACTACTTCATAGCTATTATTCTTTATATAACCTTCACTGTGTTTTTATGTAACACTTCCTTTCTGTAGCACCACCACGTGAATTCATGACATTTTGGGCCCGTTTTAATTTTGCTTTCAGTTTTGGTGTCTGAAACTAGTGTTTAAAGTAGCAATCACTTTTCATTACGAAGCAGTTATTCCATGACTCCTAGAACTCAGGGAGCCTGGCCTCCTGCAGGTTTGTCCTATAGCTGATGTCAGCTTTATTCTGAATGGTCCATCTGTGGAGAAAACCTTCAGCAGATCTTTCCAGTGTTGACTTTTCAGGATCTAATAACCAGTACGTGTTTGCTGTAACTGTTCCCTCCAGTGAGGGCAGGCGCTGGAGTCTCCTGAAAACAAGACTCTGCTCAGGAGAGCAACCTGGCAAGGAGTGAGATCCTCTGAGAATTTGGCGCCTCTCAGCCCCTGCTCACACTGACCAGAAGGTCCAAAAGCTGTTGAAAGGAGGGGACATGCATATACATGCTGGGATGTTCTTACTAAGAACCTATCTCAGAAAATGGAAATGCTGTACAGGGATATAACTTTTATGTTGGCCCAGAGTAATAATCACCATAAAGGAATCCTCATTCTACATAGTATTTTATACCTTAATAATTGGAGTTCTGTGCAGAATCGTAGGGTTGGTAACCTCCCTCCCTGGAGGCACTTGCAGCTTAAAAAGAGACGGTGATATTTTAAAAGCTATATGTATGTAAATTGGGCAGAGCACAGAGTGATGGATAGATGTATTCTCTGTTTAAATAAGCCTCACTGATTTCACTTCAGCGTCTTCAGTCTTCATGTGCAGTTTTCTCTAATAATAAAAGGGTTTTCTCTAAAGTTTGCCCTGTTGTGATGGAATTGAATAGTCCCCTTATGACTGAGTTCATGCAGTGCCTAACTAGTCACCCTTCTGATACATGGTTAGTGACTTGAAATGAAGGGAAGGTTAGTTCACTTTAGTCCAATAGATTTTTAAGCAGAAATGATAAAATCTAGGTGGTGCTTCCTTGCTTGTACTAGAAAGAAGAAGAATGCTTATGCTGTGTTCCCCCTCTTTAGTGTTTGGGTAATTATCAGTAATACTTAAGGACAGAGTTGTTCTACTTGAGCCATTTGAAGCTCTTTATCAGTACAGCTGTAGAAGCCTAGCTAAATGAAAGTTTGATGTCTGTCTGTCTTCCTACCCAACATCAGGTACTCTGCATTTGCAAGCGAGTTAAGGTGAGGTGATTAAGGCAGAACTATCATGGCGGTGCACAGGGGGCTGGAAAGTCTGTGCCAAGAGTTACAATTTGATAACAACTCTGAAAGAAGCCACGTGCAGTGCAGGGTTCTCCTGTATTTCTGCGCTAAAATATCTCCTGTACTTCTGGAAGGAAAGTGTTGCGATTGCTTTTATGATGTGAGAAAACTGTAATTGTGAAGTGAAGGAAGACTTTACAGCATTGCAGAAGATGGTAATTAAAGACTTTAGAATTGCTGTTTCATTTATAGACAAGTCAGAAAATGTTTGCTGTCATGCTGAATGCTGTGTCAGTCAGGGGTAGTGTGCAACAACGGATTTCTTATTTCAGCTTTTTTCCCACCTGCAAAACCAGTGGCAATATTTCTCTAAAATTGTGTATTTACATTCACTCAATTTTATATGTAAACAAATTAGATAAGAGACTCCTTTTGTAACAGCATATTAAATCTTAATGCTGTTTTGGGAACTGAGAAAGGCAGTGTTTCTGTATGGTCTAGAGCCAATGCAACTCTGAATTGCAGAATACCTTCAGAAACTGTTCAAGATTGGGGTCTCAATGGGAATTTTTCTGACTTGAACATGAGATACTTCTTATGATTGACAACACTGTTAACTGGTCCCATCCATACAAGATGTCAGACAAGTAGTTCTCCAGTACTGGCCTGTGTGTAGAAGAGCTGTGCTGGTTTTGATAAAGCTAAATAATCTTCTGATACTCCTTTCTTCTATTTCTTCAGTCCTGGCTAATAAAATACACCATGGAGAAGCATCAAGAGTAAGAACTACCAAAAAAGGAAGATAGGAAAGCATGAAAGATTGAAAAAACTTGGGTGATTTGAGCACGTGTGGGTGTGTTAAAGGTTTATTGCCTAATTGTATCGTAGTATTTTTCTTCTAGCAATCTGCATGATTAAGACTTTAACTACTTTTTACCAAATGCGAAAGCTATTC